AAAAGAAAAAAAAAAGAAAAAAAAATCACCTTGGTCTGACTTCACAAGCAGAAGGGCCCCCAAGCAAATGCGAGACAATAAGGAGCATGCAGGAGCTACGAGGCTACTTAATGCCACTACTTACGCATTAAAACTTGCTGTTCCAAGGCATCACTTATATATCAGAGCAATAACATCTAGTTTATAACCATTCAGGAATAGAGGAATATACCCCACAGAGGAATATGTACCTCACTTTCCATTTGTTTTTTTTAAACACAGTGTTAACAATAAAGGCTTTCCAGTCTCATGAAGCCCCTCAGTTCTGTCATATATACAGCGAGTTCACTTTGAGATCTATGAAATAAAAACCTCTGTTTCCCAAACGCTGCTGGTAAATTCTCACATGGAAACAGTTCTAAGAATGACTATTAGAACCGTTCTTCTCTGAGAAGGTTGTTTCTTGTGTACAGTTCAATATTTCCACTGGCTGAAGTTTGTTTTTCTTGTTTACAGCCATGGAGCCAAATGAGGTATGGGAGAGTTAGCCCATTTCTATTCTCAGCTTGTGCTTCAAATAGAATTATTAAACTCAGCTTCAGCTGGATGCTATTCTCGTTCTTCTAATCAAACGGAATGCTTAACAAAGCTCCGAGCATAGCATCTGATCTTCACGATATGTTAGTACAAGAGGTCCCAATTCAATTTTCATGTTTTGGGTTGAACTGGCAGATGGACAGTATTCGGGAGAAAAGACAAACCCAGACAACCTCTCTTACCATCACTACTAAAACCCCCATACATCTCTACACCTGCAGAGATGGAATAAAGCTAATTTTAAACTCCCTGAAGACCAGCTCTAGCAAGGAAATTTACAACAATATGTCACCAGACAATGTGGAACAGAGCCATGTTTTTTTAAAAAGATCAGGAGAAAAACCATCTCAAAAAGATCTTTAAGATAAACAAGAATTCATGAATGTCAAAAAAAAAAGTCCACGCCAACGAAGTAACTGCTTAGTTTCCTACCACAAACTCCTCTTCACACCCCCCCTCCCCCAAACCCACGCACACGCAGCTTGTTGCGTCTTAACTCGATTATAGTTAACTCCTCATTGACACAAAGCAGCATCGCAGCCAGGTACTTTGTTCCACACTTTGTGCAGCGAGATGATTAGTCACCAGCAGAACACAAGCTAGCCTGATCCAAAAAATGATTAAGATATGAAGCTGTGGGTGGATCGTCTTTGAAAGACCACCGCAGGTCTTTGAAAACTCCACTGCAAGAGGAAGAAAATATGTTTAAAGAAAAATGCCAAAACAGAGCATTGACAAGTGTCAGCTGGCGAGTGGAAAGAAAAGCAGAAGATGGAAATCTAGTTTATTAGGACAAGCTCTTTCCTGTCGCAGGATTGGTATTGCTTCCGATGTCAGCCAAAGCCAGGAACTTAGTAAATAGGAAGCTTTTTTTGGTGTGTTTGTACTCTGAGATGAAGACATGACAAAGGCATCAGTTTCTGCATTAGAATAGAGAAACCAGATCCTATAAATGCCACAAAGATCTATCAGGGTGAGCTGCAGTTCAAAACACTTTTTAAAAAAAGCTAAAATATTATGCTTCTGCAACCATCACTACCTGACCTGCTACAACCCACAAGAGTGGACTCAGCCATTTGGTGTGTCCACTGCCCACAACACAAGAGAAATGCAGGTATTCAGCACATTTGGCAGGTGTTGGGAAGAGGGTGTGTGTGGGGGGATGATGATAACAACACTGTCTGACCCCACATCCTGCAAAAGAGGGTACAACTCCAGACACAGAAGCCTCGCTCTGGACACCCACGTTCAACAAACATCCTGCGTCTGCATGCTTACCTCATCAGTTTGCCCTTGCTAGCTACTGCAAGCTAATTTCCCACTCACTCTTCCTCCTACCTTGTAATTCCACCCCCCCTCAGCTTCCACTTCTCACCCTCTCAAATTTCTCCATAATAAAACTCCCATCTTACTTCTTTTGAGAGACAAAAGATCAGTCCAAAAATTCAAGACCTTCCCAGAGGTCCTGAAACTGCTGTGATGCAGCGGAAGACAGGCTTGCTCAAATAGCTCTGAGATGGAAGGGCAAATCCTAAATTTACACTGAGCTGCCATGTCCCATATGAGGTAAAACCTGCTTTTAATAAAAGCCATAGGGGCTGTCCAAGAACTTTGCAAAAAGTAGATGTTCGGAGGACTAGAAGCCCCAGAGCTCCAAAATTCTGCGGGCCAGCAGCCAAGCCCCTCACAGGAACACACTGAGGATTTCCACAGGTGGTCTCACAGCTGAGAAGGCTCATAGCTTCATTTAGAATAAATACAGCATACAAGAGATGCTTCAAGTGGGGTGGGGTGAGGAAACAAAGGATTTGAGTACAGAACTCACAACAGTAGCCAATGTTACCCTGCAGACTCTGTCCTGCAGTTCCCCCTTCAGACTAGCTTACTTTTCTTGCTTTCCATAGGAAAAGATCTATATTTAAAAAATTATTTAAATAAAATTGGCTTTTAAAAATGGAAGAGAACATGCATGTGCAAGAACAGATGCTATGCTAAATTACCAACTCAAAATACAGCAATTCTTCAAAAACCTCAAAGTGTCACAGGCAGTCCAGCACAAGGCATTTTTAAGTGCAAGATTAGGCAGGGTCTATTGAAATGCAGACCGCTTTCCTTGGCAAAGATTTTTTAGTCTTCCAAGGGGAAGTTCCTATCAGTAAAGTAGGATCACAGATACTGTGAGGAGACTGGAGTCATGGAAGAATATCACTCAGGCAGTACAATCCAAGAATTCTCATTGCTAAGAATTAAGAATTTTTTTCCCCTCTTCAAATCTAATACATGCTTTCCCCACATGTTGTTTACCTTGGATCTCTCTATGGGATCCAAAAACAGAATTTGCTGCTAATCAAGGTCCATTTCTAGCTCAGTTCTGTCCAATTCCTGTGTCCTGGGCCTGTGCCAGTTTCTTGAATATCTTTGCAGTGCCAGGCAATGCTTCAGTTGTCCTATTAGCCCCTCCTCCCAGGGGAGAGGAGTCAGTTTTCAACCAACTTATTACCACAGATCCAGGGCAGCATTTGTTATTAATACTGAATTTGGCAAAGGGTAAGAAGACCCCACTTTTTATAATGCATTCCTCACACAGCAGAGCCGAGCCTGGAAATCCTGTTTAGCATATACAGAATGGTATGTCTTGACTGCGCTGGGTTTCTGAGCTTTTAATGAGGGCAAATTGAATTTGCGTTGCCAATTTAGATTTCAGAGATGCATTTCAGCCTTTCCGCATGATCAGCAATCAAAGGGAGAAACCTCTGCTGTCTATATGGACCCGTGCTGCAAAGACTGACTTACCACAGACAGGCAAATAGGATTCTGAAGTCCTGACAGCAGGCCACAGGGAAAACAGCACTGGAGAGAAAGTCTTAAACAGGCTGGAGTAATCTACACAGGTAGGATCCATTGCGTCTCACTGCTGCAGGAAGAGAGGGAGGAGGAAGGTGGGAAGAGCAATGCACAGAGATGTATCTTTATCCAAGGGATATCAATTGCAGAACAAGGCGGCAGGCTAGAGATCCAGCTCTCTTTCCACCTCCACATGCCCTCTCCCCACAAATGCAGCTGCCGCCACTTGACAGGATAAAAGGCGAATTGTTCAGCTTGCTGCTTTCACATCAAGGAGGGGAGTCTTTGCCAGGGAAAGGGCTGTCAGTTTTTCAGCTGGACAAAGCAATGACAAACACACACCCCCTACACTGCTCTTTTTTGCGTATCTGAATGGGGAAAAAGGAGAAAAAAAAAAAAAGTCTCTGTAAACATTTTAAGAGGAGACATTTTGGATTTTTTTTTTCTCTTAAGGGATAACGTAACCCTTCCCTAGCTCCACCCTAAAAGCACTGTTTTTGGGGAGCACTGCAAACAAGAGATTCAGAACTGTGCACTCCGGTCTCGAAAGAAGCCCTCAGCCACTTGTGCTTCTCTGAAAGTGACGGTAATGGAGTTTGCCGTGATGTCTGTCACTGTCACTTCACTGGGGGGCACAGTGGGGATCCAAGGGAGACTGGCATCCACATCTGCTGCAGAAGGAAAGGTAGATAAGAGCATGTTAGTGAGAGGAAGGTGAGGGAGGAGGAGGGAGGAAGAAGAGAGGGAAGGGAAGGATGGAAAAAGGGTCTCCTTTCTGACAAACAGTAGGTGAAATCAGCCTGAGTCTGCACGAACAAAGCAAGAAAAAGCATGTGCAAACCCTGCCCTCGGAGGCTAAGGGAAAATGGAGGATCACTGCAGGACATAATGGGAAAAGGAAAGAGTAGCAAACGTGTCCAGACACACAGTGGCATCAGAGCAGCCTACAGAGAGGTCAAAAGAGCAGGCAAAACCACTCAGCTCATCTAACCAATTCCCTGATACCTCTCACCCCATCTCAACCCCTAATCGGTTTTGTGTCACCAAAGCACACTCATCCCGCTGTGAGCTCACCTGCTTCTAAATGCCCTACCCTGCTGAAAAGTCAAAAATCAAAAACTCTTACACATGCTCTTCAGATAGTCGTATAGGAGTCAAAGGGATCCAAAATGGAGGGGTTGCCTTCGTAGTGCACCTGCAATGCAGCCTGGGTGTGATTCTCAAAAATCCACCAATAGTGCTCTGTGGAAAGGCTGCTCTCCCTTTCTCATATCCTTCCTTTGCTCCCAGACAGCTCCATACAGGAAACATAAGCACCCTAGCACTTTCTCACTGTATCAATAACTATCAGTCTTCTGCCACCGAAAGCCCCACTTCCTCCCAGCCCCCAGAGACTGCCACATAAACTGAGAGAGGGGAAGGAAAACACATCCTCTCCCTGTCATTTTACCTATACTATATCCCTTGTGATCCCAACCTGGGCAAAGAACAAGTTCCATTAAGAGTATATTTCCTGGCTTCTGTCTCAAGCATCTGGGGTGCCTACTTTCACCTCGGAAAGAGTCCAATCCCCCTAACAATAATTGGGATACTATGCAGGCCATATGTCAAGGGGAGCACAAAAACAGTTTTACAATTCTGTAGTGCCACTCACTCTTGGGATTCCCAAGTGCTCTAGGGCCCCATGCTTCTAGGGAGAACAGCCCCATACACTTGTCCACTGCCAGGATGTAACACTGGGCTCCTCTGTGCTACTCCCATTGCTGCCTCCCTGGATTCTGGGCACTGTTCCAGTCCCTCTCAGAAAGGAAGGAATAGCTTTCATTCCCAGAACACAGTCCTCTCCCTAAAATCTTGTCTAATCCAGCCTGGCTAACAGCTACTCCTAGCAAGGAGTAACAGGATTCCCTCAGCTACTACAAGCAGCATAAGCCCCGTTTTTCCACTCCTCAGGAAAGCTACGCCTTCAGAAGCTCTAATAATGCAAGGATAGAGTTTCCCTGGTAACTGAGAGCAACACACACATCCCACAGCCCTCCCGCACAAGATGCTGGTATCCCTCTCCAAAATGCCAAATGTGCTTGGACATCTCCCACGCCCACACTCCTGCTGCCTACTCAGTGGGATCAGGCAGGAGGGTACCATCCTCTCTCATCCCCCCCTCACATAGCTCTACAGCAAGAGACTTTAGAGGGGTGTGGAGAGGAAAGGGAAGGAGGGGGCAGGGGAGTGCACTATGAGTTCCTAGTGCCATTTCTGTACGCTTCTCAGACGACCACTATGAGAGGAGTGCTGGTGTCCCAGCTCGTCCACTGCCAGCCAAGCTCCTCTGAGACAAGCAGCAGGCTGAGCACGTGTGGATATATGGACAGAGGCAGAGTTCATCACTATCACACCTGTGTGTCACCTCTGCTGGGAGGAAACTGTAAGAGGGGAAAAACTTGCGGTATCTTCTGCACATTTTCTAACACTGGGAGGGGCATCGTGGATGTAGGACTACAGAGAGGCAACAGCACCAAAAACATCAGATTAATCTGTGCTCTTCAAACAAGAAAGAAACCTTGCAAACAAGAGGGCCATAATACGAGCCAGTGAGAGCTGCTCTAAGAACTTGATCTAAAACACAATCCCAGGAGGAGATAACCAAGGAGAAAGGACACAGACTATCCTTCACACGCCCCAGAACTTCACAGCCAAGGGGGGTCTGGCCTTACCTTCTTTGCTGGTGTGCTGCATGGCCTCCCAGTCTTCAGGGCCCTGCCTGGCCTCTAGGCCCACTGCATCATTCAGGAAAAACTCATGCCTGCAGTTTCGGTTCTCCAGGCTCGCCATGCGGGGGAACTTCTTCCTTGACAGTCGCAGGTACTTCTGGTTTTTGCGTTGCTTCCGGAGAGAAAATGGCAGGACTGCTCCCCCAGTCTTCTCTGGGAACTCTGCCTGCCCTGTCTTGGTCCCTGGCAGGCTACTGTCTCCTCCTCCAAACCTCCGCGCAAGAGAGAAACAGAGCTTCTCCTTTCCCTTGTGGGCACTCCTCAAGTCCATGCCATACAGCCGCTGCCGAGAAACACAGAAAGCGTCAGAGTGGACATCTGATCATACAGGCAGGGCTCCCCCTGGGAGCCAGGAAACTATTCTTTGTTCAGCCCCTGAACATCTAGATGAGCTGCTTCTAAGGTGTGCTGCTTCTGTAATGCCATTTCTCTCATCTCTTCCACTGCCATCTAAGCTCTTCCTAATACCTGCTTCCTAGGATAGGCTGCTTTGCTTGGGAACATGCTGAAACTCTGCTTCCAAACAGACGCTACCTTTAACTTGATGGAAAATCCAAGCTCAGCATAAAATTAAAAGAACATACAAACCAGGTAACCTGCAACCACTCAGGCCCTTGATTTATAAAATTCCAGTTCAGAGGGCAAGAGCTGTTGTTTTATTCTGTTTTGCCTTTTTAAAGACAGATTAGCTAACAGGTTAAAACTATCTGCCTAATCACTGATTTCATGGTGGTGTTTGCTTGTTACCTCCAGTTCTGTCCATGTAACTGCAAACAGACAATTCCCACCTCCCTGAGAGCAGAGGAGCAGCACAGCAGCTAAGAGTTAGGAATACACAGAAGAGCAAGAGGCTACCTGCAGTAGGAGGCGCTTTGGTTTGGGGCCTCTTTTCCTGTACCCTGATGCACGGTCTCTCTCTTCCCTGTGAAAGAGGAACACAAATCAAACTAAATACTAAATACCACAGCATAAAACCTAGCTGGAACTTCAACCTTTTGCAGCACATCTCCCTCAATTTACTTCACTAAAACCCAATGGTGACCAGGGTGGGCTTGGAAAACATCCCAGAATTGCTTTCTGTAGGAGTGAAAGCCTTGCAATAGGGGAATTTCTCTGACACGGCTGATGAAGGATGGGGTTAGAGAAACTTATCACCTCACATCACTCCAGTCCAGCTCTGAACCTGATTAAAACCTGAGACTGATGGTTCCTTGGCTCAATGCTGCGAGTTCTTGGCCTCATTTCCTGAACAGTGCCAGTCAAAGCTGCTTTAACCTTGTCTTGTCTGTTTCAACCAACACCAGGGTATCAAAATCAAGCAGGATTCATTGCTATACATCTCATCTTTGACTTAAGCAGAGACAACAGGGTACTTTATGCATATAATGAAATAAAGACAGTATTTCTTTTCCTGTGTTCAGGGAGAGAAAGAACACGCGCCCTTACTTTTCTTCATAAGCCACTACCAGGCGAGGGTCCAAGATATGATCCTCTGGCTCCCATGTGCTGTATCTGAAGAAAAACATAAGGAATAAAAAGTAAACAATACTTAAATGAAACATTCTCTCCACAGGCCTGCTACCAGTGTGCTGCAGCCCTGGATACTGTCTTCACCAGGGTCGGTGGGGCCTGCCACAACATTGCGAGAGCTCTGAGGAATCTCAGCCATTCCCTCCCCAGCTTCCCACAGACACCACCTCCCTTTCCCAAAACAGGCAGGGCCAACCGTCAAGCAGCTCTTCGTAGGAAAACAGGGAAGACTTTTCTCCCCAGGGCCCACTCTACACTGTTCGCAAAGCCTGTGCGGACACTCGCAAACTGATTTTAAGTCCATGCCTAAAAGATCTCATCAACAGCACTCCCTCAAATCCAAAAATCCCATGGAACAATGAGACGTGATCTGATACAGCTTTCTGAAAAATAGGTCTCTCTTAATTTAGAGTGCTCAAAGAGTAAGTACGCTTTCTCACCTGCATTATTAATTACCTCTAATCACTGAAGCCGAAAGTATTCATTTAAGAGTTTAATTTTTCTCCACTGATGCCTTTCACCCAAACACGTTCAGACCTGGCCCCTGGGGCAAGCTGATGGCCACTTGCCAATGCCTCCTCCTTCCGCTCGGCTCCCCCTGCGGGTTGTTCCTATGGAACAGAGCTCATCAGCGCAGGAGGAACCATCTGCACTACGGGCAGGGCCACCAGCACTGCTCCAAACAGGCTTCATGCTCCAACAGCAGCCTGTGAACAGCGTCACTCACTGCCCCAGCTCCGTCCTCGATAGCCAGACAGCTGTGACAAGAGCCAGATCTCAGGAAAGGACTCAACCCATCCAGCAGGCAACTCCAAAACTGGTTGCCAAAGAGCACACCTGCACCTAACAGCAGGGAGAGGCAGCCAAAAATTTGCACTGTGGAAGCTGAAAGGATAGTAAGGTGGTCCTTGTAGCATGTTTGCTCCTAAGGCATCATGCTTGTGCAGAAAAGGTGGGTGGCATGTCTCTACTGTACAAACTCTAAGGCAAGAAGGCAAGTCTGAAACCCCAAATGCCTCAGAAAACTAATTTTCCTGGAATGTGAGGTCCAGGCCCGGAGGCAGAGCCCCTCCCAGACCCCAGGAAGGAGGACCAGAGAAGAGTCACTTGCAGGTGTGCAAAGGTGCACTTGTATCACTGCCTTTAAAAGCGAGAAAGCATTTCAGGATGTTTACATTTCTGGATGAAGCATAGGCTGCACATGAGAGCACACGATACATGCCCACATGTACACGGGGGAGGCGGTTTAGGAATGCTTTTCCCTTTCATCTCTCTAATAGGGAGAAGAAAGGTACTAAAAACAGGAGCATTCCTAGAGAATGGGTCTAGAAATGAAAATACAATTCTTTTACAAAAGGGAGAAACAAAAATATAAAATTCAGATATTCCAAGGTGCACTGAACATCAGAGAGTTAAGAGCAGACGTCTTCATAACCAGCTGATCTCCTTCTCCCTCCCTCCCTCCTTTGCTCATGCCTCCTGCAGCAACCTGACTGTGCGCTGTCAAAGCCAAAATGATGTTTGAAAAGAGGAAGGTTTCCTCCCAGCTGCAGGGATTCTGGCACTCATCCTACAAATTTAAGAAAAATAACAGCACGAGAGGGGAAAAAAGTCATCAGATTGCTTTTCACAGGCAGGAGAAGAAAGGGGATTTGCTTATAAAAAAACCCTGGTGGGTGTTGCCATTTTCTCTGCAGTTCAGATTCTGGCTTCGCTGCAGTAGCAAAACACTGCATTTAAAAAAAACATGGTTGAATTTGCCACGCGCGCGCGCACACAGAGCTTTATATATGGGTACACACAGCCCAGGCTGCAGCAAACTGCAGAGAGCAGGCACTCTGGAAAACATAGATCATATGATCTTCCTTCCCCCTCCTTCTACTCCTCCTCTTCCCCCTCCCCTCTTAACTCCAAGACAAGTTGTAAACAAGCTTGTAGCTAGAATCAGGTTGTCACTCCTCCATTCCCTCACTCCAACAGTGCAATCCAGAAACCTGACGTGCAGGGCATGAGCAAGATTTTTTTATGAAAAAGAGGGGGAAGAAAATGAAATACAAATTACATGTGAAAGCAGTAAAAACTACTGACCTATCCTTATTTCCTTGTATGATGCTTCCAATGGGAATGATGAGATAATAGGTACAGAGATAACAAAGAGCAATGCAACAAGGTTGGGAAGGGGAATGAAGAGAAACAGGACATGGGATGAGCAAATAGACAAAAAGATGCAAACAGCTTGTTGTGCTGCATGCTATGCTGGGCATACGTAAGTTTAGAAACAAGGAACAGAGACTGCTAGTGGGATGAAAGTGACTTCAATGTTCTGAGAATCTTGGTTTTAATACTTCAAACCACTGAGTGAATAGTTAAAATGGAGAGGACAGGGGGAAAGAGAAATAGTCAGTGCTCTTCAGATTTGGAGTTTGGGAAAAGAGGGAAGGTGCTAGGACATGTAACAGCATCAAAAATAGGGAACCCTGACATCACCTTGCTCCTTGAGGAGCTGTGCTTTAAATTCCCAGAAGAGTTTCTGTGTCCCCCAGAGTTCCAAGATGCACGACAAGGAAAGGCAGCAGTTAAGAATAAAGGCTGCTCTGTCCAAGGAAACATTACGCCATGCCTCAGCCCACCTTCTTGGCAAGGGACTTTACGAGAGAAGGACCTCAATGCGTTGGTTCAGAGGAGAATGGGATAAACATCAGTATTCTGGCCAGAAGGGAATGGGGCCTCACAGGCTCCAAATCCATGTCCCACCCTCTATCAGCAATTAAATAAGACTTGGCTCCTTAAGGCTGAAGTAGGTCCAAGAAGTGACCCGCGCTACATGGCAGCTGGTGCTCAACAAGTGCACAAGGTTACTTGGACAGCAGGACTTATAGTCAAGAATAAAGTCACCCTCTCCTACCACCACCAGAGAAGGGAAGTTGCTTGTATTGACATGTGCCCTATAAGCATAAAAATTAGGCACACAGACTGGGCATGTAGGAACACGTTTCAGCTTCTTGGACAACAGGTACAACTTGTCAGAACCATCCCAGTCGGCCCCACTTTGCAGCTGTGAGGACGAACCCGTAACAAGCGGCCCCCTTTGCTTAGCAACACACAGAGCAACTGCATGTGTAGTGCTGTTGTACCCACCCACGCTGTGTATGTACAAACACAGTCACAAACAGAAAAGCAAAAACAGGGCCCCATATGGGTTGGCCAGGAAGCTTTTCCACTAGACTGCTAGCTGACATAGTAATATTCTCCAGTTACTTAATCTTTCTAATCTCAAAGCATTTTACAGACTGTTTAAGCACAGACCAATCACTCTTCTTCAGAGGCAGCTGCATTTGAATAAAAGAAGTAGCTGTAAACAGTGCACAGCAATGCTGAAAAAAATGCCTTTTTTTTCCCCCCTTTTTGCAATGTAGCAACCAAAGTAAAAGCAGAAAAGGCACTCATAAAAACAGGAGGTTTCAGACAAGGAAATGAAGGCATGGCGGTAATTTTCAAGGGGCAAAGATCACCTGCGTCTGGCTACAATCAATAAATCTGAAACACTGCCCCTTTCCATCGGTGAACTGCAGAAGGGAAGCAGTAGGACAACAAGACAAGACCATCTACATGTATTCTATTTTAAAAGACTTCAGACAGCTCTAAAAATAAAGTGGGGTCCTCTTGGTGCTGACTCAGAAAAGCAGGAGCCATTCCAAGTTCAGAAGAATCTGGGTTCTTTGTTGAACTCATAATGAATTTAAAAACATTTGTATCTAGAAAGTATCTCAATGAAATATTTCAGTGGTGGTAAAACCCAGTCTGAATAGACTGGCATGCAGTTTGTATTCCTTAGCTGCCAATTCACAAACAGATTTGGGTTTGGTTTGTGGCTCTTTCGTTCTGTTTATTGGTGTTGAAATGAGGCACAAGCAATTACCCACCATGAATGAGATGCTCAATTGCAGAGACACAGTGTAAGCTATTGCCGAATATCAAAGACAAAAAAGACAAACACAACTTACTTTGGGGGCCATCCTTTCCACTTCACCAGGTATTCTACTTTCCCCTGAGGGTGGAAAAAGGAAGAAGAAAACAGATGAACTCTGCAACAAAATACAGGCTGCAGTATGAAATGCAACCAATCAATGGGACTGAACTCTGCAACCAAAAGGTCATTTCCCATCACTTTATTTTCAAAACAAAGACACTTCCTCATTCAACTACACTTGCTATACCTTCTCCCCCAGAATGCGGCGGTGTTTAAGCATGCTTGCACTCCCATTAGCCTGGAGCACAGCTTCGCAGAAGTCTTGCAGGCAGAACACTAAAAGTCAGCCAGAGAGTAAGACTGAACCATTCCCACATTTACAGGCAATCCTACAAGAAGTCAGCAGGCATAAATGCAAGAGGCAGATGCATGCCAGAAGCAAGTGTCAGATGAATTTTTTTTAAGCACAGAGGAGAAACACAGTATTTCAGAACCTATGAAGCATCTCTGGCATGTTTCTTTCCATTTGCTACACGCTCTACTCAAACCCTGTTCCATCCATCACAGGCACTCATCTCTTCGACCCAAGCTCACAGCTGAAGTTCAAAGTTATCCATTTACTTGTTCACTCTAAGCACAAGATTTAAAAGCAAAAAACTAAAAAAACCTGCAGCGATTGGAAACCATGCTCAAGGGCTCAGTGAGCAACGTATACAACTATCGGAATGTTTCATGTTACGCTGAGTGGTTTGTTAAGCACTTCCCAAAGCATGGCAAAGGCCTTAGTGCGTGTAGGACGACCCCGCTCCAAGAGGCACTGCTGCAGCTGCAGACACCTTTACAGGAGAGCACAGCAAGGAAAGCGCTCGGGTACTTGAGTCAGAGAACCAGTTTCGTTTTCCTCGGGGGGGGAGAGGGTGTCGTTCATCAGTCTCCCAAGACTGGAAAACACTGCCCTATAAGGAACTTTCCACCGGAAGATCTCTGCACACTGCATGCCTACAGGTTCATCCTTGCAACACCCTGCGGGACCGGGAGGGCTTCCACGGCCGGGGAAAAGGAGTCACGGGAGCCTTCCCAAACGCCCTCCGGTTTGGGCTGGTGTCGCCAGCGCTCATCCTGCGGAGAGGCTGAACCCCCCGCAGGGGCAGCTCCCCCTCTGCCCCGGAGACCCCCGAGCCAACACGTGTGTCCCCCGCTCGCCGGCCCCGGGCAGGTGCCGATGTCCCCGCGGCGGGGGGGGGGGGGAGGTAAACGTGGCGGGGACAGGGACGGGAACGGGGACCAGCCGGTCGCGCGCGCGCCCACCACGCCCCCCTCCCGGTGCGCGGCGGGAGGGGCGGGGGGTATGTCCCGGTGCGCTCCCCCCGCCCCGCCCCGCCGCTGCCCACCTTCCGCACGCGCTTCTTGCGGATGCTCTCCACCGCGAACACCTGCTCGCCGATGGCCGACAGCTCCATGCGGCGGGAGGGACGGCGGCGGGCTGTGCCTGCGGCTGTGTCTGCGGCGGCGGCCGTTCCCCGCCGCTCCCCCTCACACGCCCCCTCGTGCGCGGCCGCGCCCCCGCCGCCGCTTTAGAACCTGCGCAACGTTTTCCCCGGCGCGCGCGCGAGGGGGCGGGAGCGGGGGGCAGGGAGGGAGGCGGTGCGCGAGGCCGCGGCGGGAAGCGCCTGGGGCGCCGTTCCCGCCTCCCTCCTCCTCCTCCAGCTCCGGGGAGCGCCGTGACGGAGGGCTGCCCGCCGCCGTCGCCGCCGCCGCGGCGGAGCGGTGGCATTTGCGGGCGTTTTCCACAGGAACGCGGGCACCGGCGGTCGCGTGCCGGCGGCGGCGGGTCGGGAAGCGGCGGCTGGCAGAGTGTGGGGGCGGGAGCAGCGCTGCGGCAGGAACCCGGCGGGACTCCCCTGCCCCGGCACCCGCCGCAGGTGCTTCGCCGCGAGATGCCTGTGGCGGCCCATCCTGAAGGGGAAGGGAGCGCCCAGGGCTCGTGAGTGCTCGCGGCCGCAAAGGGACGGCGAGAGCCGGAGGGCCCGCCAGCAATCGGAAAGTTTTATCGTTAAATTACACACTTGGAATGGAAATCATTACATTAGTCCCCTGACCTACTACATAAGCACACGGCAGTGGGTTATGGATAAAAGGGTAAGAGGGAAAGGAAGAGAAGAGACGAATTAAAGAGGGGGGGAAGGGAGAGTGAAAGAAGAAGGAAGGCAGGCAGGAAAGAAAAAGAATAGAAAGACAGAAAGAAAGAGAGAGAGAAAGAGAAGAGAGAAAAAGAAAAGAAAGAGAAAGAAAAGAGAAAAAGAGGAGAGAGAAAAAGAGAAAAAAAAAGAATAAAGAGAAAGGAAAAGAGAAAAAGAGAAAGAAAAAGAGAAAAAAAAGAAAAAAGGAAAAGAGAGAAAAATAGGAGAAAGGAAAAGAGAGAGAAAAAGAGGAGAAAGGAAAAGAGAGAAAAAGAGGAGAGAGAAAGGAAAAGAGAAAAAGAGGAGAGAGAAAGGAAAAGAGAAAAAGAGGAGAGAGAAAGGAAAAGAGAGAAAAAGAGGAAAGAGAAAGGAAAAGAGAGAAAAAGAGGAAAGAGAAAAGAAAGAGAAAAAGAGAGAAAGGAAAAGAGAAAAAAGAGGAGAGAGAAAGGAAAAGAGAAAGAAAAAAGAGGAGAGAGAAAGAAAAAGAGAAAGAACAGAAAAAAGAAAGGAAAAGAAAGAGAAAAAGAGGAGAGAGAAAGGAAAAGAGAAAGAACAGAAAAAAGAAAGGAAAATAAAGAAAAAGAGAGAGAAAGAAAAAGAAAGAACAGAAAAAAGAAAGGAAAAGAAAGAGAAAAAGAGGAGAGAGAAAGAAAAGAAAAAAGAGAGAAAGGAAAAGAAAAAGAAAAGAAAAAAGGAGAAGAGCAAGAGAGAAAGAAAAAAGAAAGGAGAGAAAAAAGAGAAAAGAGATAAAGAAAAGAGAAAGAAAAGAGAGAAAGAAAAGAGAGAAAGGAAGAGAAAGAAAAGAGAGAAAGGAAGAGAAAGAAAAGAGAGAAGGAAGAGAAAGAAAAGAGAGAACGAAAGAGAAAGAAAAGAGAGAGAAAGAAAAGGGAGAGCAGGTACTTAGTAACTACCATTCTCCCAGGAGTGTGCTCACTTGCTCCTCCACTGTGACCGCATACCACTGGGGGCTGTTCATATGCAAAGTCCAAGAAGGGGTGAACCTGACTGTACAAATGGCAAATATTAAGTGTGTTTTAGTAATTTAGTTTGAAAGTGTTCATTTTCACACAACCTACTGTCTCCACAGGTGTGGATTGAGTAAATGGCAGGGTGCTTATCCTTGCTGCGACCATTTAAGAACTCAAAGTCCACTGTCAGGGAATCATGACCCTTGGGATAACCATTAAGCAGAACTAGCAGTTTATAGCATGGTTTTGGTACTGTAAGAGCATAGCTGTTGAATATTCAAGAATTTTATACTGTTTTGCAAAATTAATAATAAAATCTTTGATCTTCTTTCTAATCCATCCTTTCTCATATTGTGTTTTAGAGGAAATAGAGAAAAATACTTAAAATTTTCTTTGTTTCTCAAAATTAAGATCTTCAGAAAAAGTAGAGACAAAAGAAGATCAGAACATTTCTCTGAATTGCAAGGATCTGTTTTTATTTGTTTTCCTCAGACTTGAATCCACCTGCTGCAACGTAAAACTGGAAAATGGAAGAAACTGTGCTCCAATGACCACATTAGAATGAAATAAAAGAAATAAATAAAACCCACAGTCACAACAAATTTTCAGAGTTATTATTATTTAAATTGGTGATAAACTGTTGCACTTCTTAGTCTAGGATATTTACAACTCATTATTTAATATACGTCTCTTTAAGATCAAGAACAGATGTGTATATTTATACATATATATTTAAGAACATTTATTAATAGTTACCAAAGGAATTCTCAAAACAAATTGTCCTGCATTTTGATCACAAGTCATAATACTCTTGTTATAAACAGAGATACACAATAAGAACCCACATGATTGGTGTTATCAGTACAATTTCCACCTGATTATTCCCTTCTTTCTTTCTACTTTTGCCACACCAGCAACTGACCTAAGTGATGTTTAAGCAATATTTGCACCATTTATGTCACAGCTTTCAGAAAAGCACTCCTTTGTCTGGAAGGATAAGGGATGAAATGTGTCCACAAAATGACATCAGCATGCAGCAAAGTTCCAGGCAAATCCCATAACACAACAAAAATAAGTATTCCTTGTTTGCTGGGGAGTTTTTCCATTCAAGTCTTCCTCCTTCACGGGGGCCTTATTCTCCCAAGTGGTTGTACTGGCTGCAGTGAAACCAGCATGAGCCAGGACTGCTATGGTGACCACACTCCTCTGGCCCTTTGAGTGTCTTTAGTACCAGAACATGCTGCTTGGGACTTTTACTTTTCCTAAAATGCCTCATGCCAATCTTGGGGCTTGTACTTTTCCCAAAAAGGCTCATGG